TGATAAATAATCACAACGAACCGAACAATAATTATAATGTTTTGAGTAATAATAATAATAATAATAAAAGATTTTTTTAAAAACATGTAACACTCATATTTTTCTCTTTATTAATAACTATAGTCCAGTTAAATGAGCCACCGTCATGCAATTATGTTGAACTATATTTCAGGATCTATGAGGCATTTTTCGCACTCTGCATTCCGAAACTATCTTGAATGGACTAAATTTCGCTTTTCAGAACTACAATTTTTTGCTCCTCAGTAGAAGCACTTGTGTGCGAAGGACAAAATTCGAGAAAAAATATTCATACATTTTCTTGAAAATTCATTTGTCATCACAGGCGATTTGGCAACTTCTAGAGGCTCATACGCCATTCTTTCTTAGGACATTTGGACTACATTTTGCTATTAAGAACTAAAATTTCTGGCTCAGTTTAGAAACAAATGGACCACGTCAAACAGAAAGGAACCAAGCCACATCACCTATTGCCTTTAATTGGGCAATTTAATTTTTTACATGAAAACGGTTGTGCGGATTTCCGTGCAAATTTCAGTGAAAATTCTCCATAGTGCGAAGCAAAGTCCTTAAAATTTTCAAAGAAATCCGAACAACCGTTCTTTCGTAAAAAATTTAATTTCCCCGTTAAATTCGGCAATAGCTGGTGTGGCTTGGTTCCTTACTGTTAAACTCGGTCCAATTTATGTGCCACTGGTTTCCCTATGCACGTCAGTGTTATCACGGATGAGCCAAACGTTGTAATTTCTGATTGCAAAATGCATTACAAATATAAGACATTGCCTTACCAATTACGATAGGGAAATCTCATGCTCATTACCAAACTATTTTAACAAAAATAATACGAATTTCGGATTTTCTTCAATATTCCGGAGTTTCAGAGCGAAGATTAATTATAAAGTTGATCAAATAACGAGAGATTTAACAGCGCTCATATAGAAATATTCGAGCATTCAAATGGAAATATCTGCAATAGGTATATTCACTTACAAATTATGATGAAGAGAAAATAACGTCGGAAAAAAGCAAAAATAGAAACAAGCTCTCATAATCAATAAGTCTTGGGCCTCTAGCTAAGACAGGAATCAGAGCATTGCGCTAAAAGTTTTCTCTATATTTGACGAGAAAGTCGGAGTCGCACGACGAATGGTAACGGTGGAAATGAACTCCATGACAAATAAAGGTGCTTGAATGGAAAAAATAAAAATAACGTCATCTGTATAGTCTCAACTTCTAGTTTGATAATAAAAATTACGGGGTTTCTCCAGAGTGCGATCGAATATGTACCCATGGAGAACTTTTTTCAGAAAACGAAGCCGAGCGATACCTGCGACTGAAAGGTCCTCGATCGATGTGTGTCGTATGCGTTCATTTGGACGACTTTTTCTGGACAAAAATGCAGAGCACTGGGAATGTATGGTTTACCGCAATCAGAGACGAGAGACCCTCCACTAGTATCTTGGTCATGGTGTAGACTTTTACTTTCGAGACTTCCGTATTCTAATGTTGGCTATTACCTACATGGTTAATGTTGAACAACGTGTTGGCATTTCCGTTTTGCAAACAAGCCTAAAATGGCCGAAGTTTGGGAAACGTCTTTGCCTCATGACGTCACCAGAGGCTTATCATGCATGTCGGCAAGTTAACAGCCGATATTAGGGTGATGACTGTTGCTCCATTATCATTATCCATGTACCTTATAGAATTGTTGAATCCCCGAAGGTAACAGCTTCCACCTGTCGCCAAGAGGTCAGAGGAGGGTCTCTTGTCTCTGATCGCAGTATGCTCCGTTAAATGCCTTTGTAGCCGAAAAGGAGATGAGCGGTGACTAAAACTCTAGGGTTTTTCGCCAGAATGCATTCGCAAATGTCTCTTGAAAGTGATTTTTTTTAGAGAAGTAAGCCGAACAATGACTGCAACTGAATGGTTTCTCGCCAGTGTGCGTTCAAATGTGCATCTTTAAAGTGTCTTTCCTACTGAAAGAAGAGGAGCAATGGCTGCAACTGAATGGTTTCTCATCAGTATGCGTTCGAACAAGTGCCGTTAAAGAATTTATGTGAGCAAAGTATGCCGTGCAATGACTGCAACTAAATGGTTTCTCGCCAGTGTGCGTTCGCATGTGCATCTTTAAATTGTCTTTCCTACTGAAAGAAGAGGAGCAATGGCTGTAACTGAATGGTTTCTCATCAGTATGCGTTCGAACATGTGCCGTTAAAGAATTTTTGAGAGCAAAGCATGCCGTGCAATGACTGCAACTGAATGGTTTCTAACCAGTATGCTTGCGAACATGTTCCGTTAAAGTATGCTTTTGAGCAAAGCATGCCGTGCAATGACTGCAACTGAATGGTTTTACACCAGTATGCTTCCGAACATGTGCCGTTAAAGACCTTTTGTGAGAAAAGCATGCCGTGCAATGACTGCAACTGAATGGTCTCTCACGAGTGTGCTTTCGTATGTGCATCTTTAAATTGTTTTTAACACTGAAAGAGGAGGAGCAATGATTGCAACTGAATGGTTTCTCACCAGTATGCGTTCGAACATGTGCCGTTAAAGAATTTTTGAAAGCAAAGCATGCCGTGCAATGACTGCAACTGAATGGTTTCTCGCCAGTGTGCGTTCGCATGTGTATCTTTAAATTGTTTTTAATACTGAAAGAGGAGGAGCAATGATTGCAACTGAATGGTTTCTCACCAGTATGCGTGCGAATATGTGTCGTTAAAATATGTTTTTGAGCAAAGCATGCCATGCAATGACTGCAACGGAATGGTTTCTCGCCAGTGTGCGTTCGCATGTGCATCTTTAAATTGTCTTGCCTACCGAAAGAAGAGGAGCAATGACTGCAACTGAATGGTTTCTCACCAATGTGCGTGAGAGCATGTGCCGTTAAAGACCTTTTGTTAGAAAAGCATGCCGAGCAATGACTGCAACTGAATGGCTTCTCACCAGTGTGCGTTCGCATGTGTATCTTTAAATTGTTTTTAATACTGAAAGAGGAGGAGCAATGATTGCAACTGAATGGTTTCTCACCAGTATGCGTGCGAATATGTGTCGTTAAAATATGTTTTTGAGCAAAGCATGCCATGCAATGACTGCAACTGAATGGTTTCTCACCAGTGTGCGTTCGCATGTGCATCTTTAAAGTGTCTTTCCTACTAAAAGAAGAGGAGCAATGACTGCAACTGAATGGTTTCTCACCAGTGTGCGTGAGAACATGTTCCGTTAAAGACTTTTTGTGAGAAAAGCATGCCGTGCAATGACTGCAACTGAATGGCTTCTCACCAGTGTGCGTTCGCATGTGCATCTTTAAATCGTCTTTACTACTGAAAGAGGAGGAGCAATGATTGCAACTAAGTAGCTTCTCATTACCAGTTTGCGTTCGCATGTGTTTCTTTAAATTATCTTCAATACTGGATGAGGAGGAGCAATGACTGTAATTGAATGGTATCTCGCCATCGTGCGTTTGCATGTGTGTTGTTAAAGCGCTTTCAGAAGAAAAAAGGCTCGAACACTCGCCGCAAGCGAATGGGTTCTCACTAGCGTGCGTTCGAATATGTTCGACGAACTTGGATTCCGACGCGTTTGTTTGGGTAGGGGGTTCGCTCTTGATTTCGATACTTGTTTCTGAAAGGTCAATCCAACTTTCATGAGAATGGTCGGGAAGTGGAGAGCTCATGTCCTCTCTTTTCACTCGCGCTGTCATCGGGACAAAATCACGAATATCATTCTCCAAATCGTGTTCTCCTCCTCCTCGTCCCAACCTGAGTTCTGACTCATCCGTCTGGGGAGTGGGTTCACTCTT